ACCATCTCATTCGAAGTAACTTCACAATCTCGTCGACTGATTTCCCCGCCCTACTTAGCACTCAACGCCTAACCTCAATATTGCTCATCTTATTGTACCACCAACTAACACGGGAGATAGAGCGCAGACACCTATGATCGAAGACAGCTAATCTTTTCATGTATTCCGCTCTCAATGGCCAGGTCTCACAGCTAGCCATAAAGGAGGACGGAGCGGACTGTTGAGCAGTACACCTGCCCTTTGGTCGATAGTCGGATATCATTTCTACGCCAGAGACGGCGTAAACTGGCGGGTGTATGCGAAACTAGCCCTCTGTATCCGTACTCAGCTGAGATTTCGTCAGAGATCAACCCGCTGGCGTTAGCTGATGGTACTTCCCAAGTAAGTGAAGCGGTCAACGTGCTCCACCTACCACTTCACTCCCTATTTCTAATCTAGGAGTCGGTGAAGTCCAATCCTGCAGTATCATCTTACATTTGACATTGCGTAGTAGTAGGGAACACTAACTACACAACAGTGTGAAGCTGGGTTGGTTGAATAAATTTATGCGAAACATCAAATGTGAAATGTTTGAAAAGTAAAAATGGTTGACTGCATTTATTATTTTAAAAACATCCATCCATATTAATTTTCAAGTAGTGGTTTTGAAAGGGATTTTTGTTTGATTGCATGGAAGATTTCACTCATCATGAGTTGACATCAGTTAGAGGACCATTGAAAACCAGGGAGTACTGGACAGCTGCTGTTTCATCCTAGTTTGGGAATCATCGGCAGTACGCACCCACTGGGATTCGAACCCAGGACCTTCCGGTTACAAGGCAAGTTCGTATACCATTCAGCCATTGGGACCCGATTCAATGGCTCATGAATTCTAACTTCTAACAATTCGTGATTTAGCGCGACCCCAGCCATTGTCGTCGTTGGTGGGACATCCATCCACACACGTGACATCTAATTGGACCTCACTGGTCACGACTTCTCACTAGAACTCCAGGGAACTCCATCCTGTAGCAAGTCACTAGCGAGCATCAGATTAATTTTCTAAAGTTTGGTTTTCAAGGGTTTGTTATGTTCTAGTGAGAAGTCGTGACCAGTGAGGTCCAATTAGATGTCATGTGTGTGGATGGATGTCCCACCAACGACGACAATGGCTGGGGTCGCACTAAATCACGAATTGGTAGAAGTTAGAATTCATGAGCCATTGAATCGGGTCCCAATGGCTGAATGGTATACGAGCTTGCCTTGTAACCGGAAGGTCCTGGGTTCGAAGCCTGGTGGTGGGTGAGTACTGCCGATGATTCCCAAACTAGGATGAAACAGCAGCTGTCCAGTACTCCCTGGTTTTCAATGGTTCTCTAACTGATATCAGTCCATGATCAACTCGTAAAAACGAATTTATTATCAAGCTGTACAATCGTATATGTATATGGTTTTTCTTAAGAAATAATATGCGGTTAGGAAGGGAATTCGGTCAAGGGTGTGAATACATGAAATAATAATGGTAGTAGTAGTAGTAGTATGAAATGCAATTAAAATATTTGTGATTGTAATCATAGTTAGATGTCAAGTGGCGAAACAATCAATGTCATATATAGAATAATACATAAGAAGGATGTATAGATGTTAGAAAGGGGTACATAATTATAAGATTAGGAGGCGAATATAAAATGTTACATAACATGGTGTGAAGCTTGATAAGATAGAATTCAATATTGTAAAAATAAAAAATATAGAAATTAATAATTTTGGGTTTAGAATGACAATTCAGAGTGAGAGTAGTAATAATAATAATAATCGTAGTAATAAGGGAAAAGTACATAGAGTAACTAAATAAACAAAATAAATAAATGTCTATCCCTCTACGGCCAAGGCAGAAGTAGGGATTGTACATACTTCTTTTGTACACAAAGACCCATCTGGCTTAAAGTGATGAATTGCCAAGGCCTCAGCTGTCTTTAGAAGTCTGTAACGAAGAAAACGCGGCCAGCAAGTTAGCATGGATTCTGTATATGATCTTAAAATCATGGTCAGAGTTGACAGAGTGATAGAAGTCAAGACAGGTGTTCCAGAATAGAGCTTCGCACACACTTCCTTTCTCCCTTGTAAAACCATGCTGGAATATGTTCTCGTATCCGTGTGGAAATCGTCCTCTGACTACGGCCAATGTACCTTGCTCCCCAAGAGCAAGTGAACTGACAGATGCACAGGGAGACGGCCAGACGGGGGAGTTTATCTTTTACAAGAGACAGAGAACAACTTGCGGGTGGTGAACATCATATGTAGTTTTGTTGCAAAAAACGTCTCACTGACTGCTTTAGAGAGACAACTTTTCAGCATATGTGAAGCTTGATCAAGCCTTTGAATTCCAAGTTCATGAATAAGGAAGGTTTTCTTTGGAACTGAGTCAGTGACCAGTTTTGACTGCTTATCTTATCTTTCATGTTGCTGTCAATAAATCGGTTAGGGTGGTAACCGTTTTCTGCCAGCGTGGTTTTCTTTTAAGAAGTCAAGTTCTGAGCCAAAAAAAATGTTCAGGTACCACTAGACATGTGTGTACTAATGTTTTCCCCACACTACAGATGACTACACTGAGATATGATTGGTCAGGATTTATATAGAAGACACATGAGATGTGTTCACTGTACTTGAATGCATAAAATAAGTATTTTAAACGCATAAAGGTGGTTTAAACTTCCTAACTGACAGCTGGGGCTAGCTTCCACAAACCTTAGCATACGCCCTCCCCCAAACACGCTTTTATAGATAGATAAGTTTAAAAGATATGTTAGTTAACGTCAATTTTATGTCCTGTCTCCTCTACAATATGTTTCGCAATAGGTCGAACTAAGTCTTCGTCTGTTCTCACCATTAATGGGTTCCGAAGATTCCATTTGTTTCTGGAGCCATTTAGGAATGCACTCTGAAGACAGCCCTTCAGAGTCCTCCCTATGTATGTGTGTCCACATGTACATTCAAATTGGTAAATACAGTGAGAGGATGTGACATCATTTTTCGCATGTTCAAAAGGCTTAGATGGATGGATATATATTGGCTTCACATTCTCAATTATTATGATATTAGATGCATGAAAAGTCTTTTAAACCATAACGGTGTTCCAACTTTGTCTAGTTATCAAACGGCTATGATGCCCCGCCCATATAGGGTAACTTGATGTACACGTCTTTCTTAGATTCGAGTTGTAGAGTGGGTCGGTTGACGATTATTTCCGCCATGTTGTACATTGAGAATGCATCAGAGGATTTAATCGAAAATGTGCCTGACACTTTATAGAAGGTGGTATGTGTGGATTATATTGTAAACATCATCATCAATGATCAGTGTCTTGTTCGGCAAACTCAATTTTTAAATCGAATGAATGAAGTTCAGAATAGTGTAAGCATATCACTTACATCTGTCTGTAGAAGAGGAAGATAATCGCTTATATCTTTCCTAGACACATATTGCTTAGTCGATGGACGGCTTGATGCGTCAAATAAAAAAGATCTATTTATAGAAAACTTGACATAAGTTTCTAGCACAATTTATTGCTCATAATCATATCAGGGTAATCACACGACTTCCTAAATTCATTTATATAGTTCCATTGTTTTCCACTTGATTTGATTGGTAGTAGTGGTGTTTTCCATATTTCGGGTATGAGTGATGAATCATTCCTATTGCATGTGTTGGGTGTAGACTGGATAAACAAGGCAGGATTCAGTAATCAACCTCTCTCCATTCCCACCTACCTAGATTACTTTTTAGAATTTTAACCCTCTCCCACCATGTTATTGTGTGGTTGTGTGCTAATGCATGCAGTGCAATGTAGTGCTGAGTGCTTTTTTAAAAATTGCTTATCTTCTCTGGTTCAACCATTCCAACCTTGGCTAAATTCTTACGTTCTGACAATCTGACTACCCCTGACCTACTAGTTTGACGTATGTAGTTGACCTAACTCACAGTCATTGCAGGGTATTTTGTAAATTATATTATTTTGTCTAATTGGGTCCACTGGGTCCTTTAACCTACAGAGCTTGTCCTACCTGAGTGCGTTTGTAGGTTTAAATGCCACCCTAATTCCTGCTTTATCAAGAATCCTACGTAGGGAGTGAGTGTCTCAGATGTCCCCTCCTTATATGGTATAACAGTGGATGACTTATATTCTCTCTTATTTATGTTATCATTATTAGTTTAACCATTGTTTTTATTTTGCTTTTCACCTTTACTGATCTTCCTAATAAATTTTATGGGATAGTTAGTTGTTTGACACCAACGCTTCTTCTGTCTGTTTTATTTCATCATTTGGGTCTTTACTTGTGCTACTTAGTGATACTGCTCGGTTTGTTAGTCACTTAAATTAACTAAGCCTGCCTCAACAGTTAACGGATGAGGTGATGAAATAAAGTCTAAATAGCTATTAGCAGAATGCGTCGATTTTTTATAAAGGCTAGTGTGTAGTTATCCTTCTTTTATTCGTTTTATTTTACAATCTCTCACTGGATGCATTAACACACAACCACGTAATAGCATGGTGGGAGAGGGTTAACATTCTAAGAAGTAATCTATGTAGGTGGAGGGAGACGTTGATTACTGAATCCTGGCTGGTTCATCCAGTCTACACCCAACAAATACAATAGGAACGCCTCTCACTCATGTCTGAAATATGGAAAATACTAACACTACCAATCAAATCAGGTGAAAATCAAGTGAAAAATAATGGAACTATATAAATGAATTTAGGAAGTCGTGTGATTACCTTGATATGATTATGAGCAGTAATAAATTGTGCTTGAAACGTGGTCATCAGTAAACATTACTGTATAACAACACTGTGAGACTTTATCAAGACAAAATTTACCCATAATGAAATTACACTCTACCACCACAGTGCACAAGTTTTATTCTTATATCAATTGACATAAGTATTTTACTCTTTTTCTTTTTTTCTGGTTGTTCAACAGGGGAACTGTCTTTCTATTGAAACTCTTCTGACACAAACTATGTTCGCTCGAGCCAAACAAATGTTACAGGTAATTATTATTATGATTATTATTATAACTTCTTTTTTCTTCTTGCTGAATTGGCTGTAATAAATGCAAAGTGAGTTAATTTTGCAACTCAATTTTGTTTTTACGAGTTGATCACGCACGGATTGATATCAATTAGAGAGAGAAGCATTGAAAACCTGCATTGCGGGAAGTACTAGACAGCCAGCTGTCTCATCAGCCTAGTTTGGGAATCATCATCGGCAGTACGCACCCACCACAGGGTGTTCGAAACCAGGCAAGCTGGCTCGTATACCATTCAGGCAATTACTGGGACCCGATTCAATGGCTCATTGAATTCTAACTTCTGGGTTCGAACCCTCTGTGGTGGGTGCGTACTGTCGATGATTCCCAGACTAGGCTGATGAAACAGCTGTCCAGTACTCCTTGTGGCTGGTTTTCAATTCTTCTCTAACTGATATCAATCCGTGATCAACTCGTAAAAGCAAAACATAACTAACCCTTACAAACCAAACTATGGAAAACTCAATCTGTCATGCTGAATATTGTAGCTGCTTCATACTATTATTTATTATTATTATTATCATTATTCCCTTGGGTTTCGTGTGGAACATAAGGCTGGCTTCAACAACAACACATCTCCACTCGCCTCTATTTTCTGCCATCCTCTTCAACCTGGATCCACAATTCTTCATAATCTCTTCCACGATCTCCTCCTCCACGTCACCCTCGTACTGACAACCCACTCATCGCCCCTACCATTTGTATTCCACTCGAGCGTTGGTGTGCATTACGCGTAACGTCATTCGACAGCCTCCTCAACGTATGTGTGATCCATCCTCTCCTACAATAAATTTGTTGTACGATCGGATCTTGGTTGGTTTTTTGTCAGTTAGAGTTTCTTGTTTACTTACTCTTTCTGGCCGGCCAGCCAGCCCCATTTGATCTTCAGTATGGAGCCAGCTAGCAAAGGTGTAGCCAATATTTTAGACGCAACTGGTACCTCTATGATTATCACATGAATTACGTCAACTGCTTTTTGAAGATAGGGACGATAATGGCTTCGTTCCACATGGATGGCACACTCTCAGTCTCCAATGCCTTCCTGAATAATCCAGTTAGAGCTATTACGAGAGTCTCGACACCATCTTTAAAAAGAGCCAGGGGTAGATTGTCTTCTGGGGCGGGTGCTTTATGGCGTTTTAACACTTGGAGTTCCTTACGAACTTCCGCTTCTGTTTGTGGGTCCGTACTAACCGGACAAGGAGCTACTAAACGTGGTGACCAGCTAAACTGCCTCTCGAAGGGCTCTACCCAGCGTTCCAGACATCTTTTCAGGCTGGTAATTAGAGTGCCGTCTGTCTCACAGTCCGTCTCGCTAACATGTTGTTTCTTGCTGCCGGTGGCTCTTATGAGCTGAAACAGCTTCTAACTGTTGCCAGATGCAGCAGCGGACTCCATCTAACACGCATGTTCTGCCCACCAAGCTTGGCAGGTCCTTACGTAAACACTGTCTAATCTTGCGCGTCAGCGGAATGGACCGGTGTTCATCCAGGAGTTGCAAGGAACTCGCGGAAACCCTGTGGCTTTAGCGGAGCATTCTTTTAGGCCGCAAGCGGCTACACTCGCCATTTACATAGCACCTCGCAGATGAAGCCAATTTTCATATATACTCCTTGGGTGGTTGCTAGCAAGCATCAATTGTAACTCAGTTTCGTATTTCAAAGAGGTAGCAGGTGATACCAGCTGGCTCACATAAACATACAGATGACGCCGTTTATGAACCCCACCAAATCGCAAGACGAACCTGGCGCACACGAACGCGTGATCGGAGACCAGGCATGTGCTCCAGAAGGAGTGACAGCATTGTATGCATTCTCGCCACCGGAAACTGACAGCGATATAATCAATCCGTGTCCAAGCTTGACTGGCAGAGGGAAGTCAACAGGTAGCGCTCAGGCGATGAATGTGATGGAAGTTGGTGCTGACTAGAAATAGGTTGTGATCTGCGCAAAGCTGCAGAAGGCGATCCCTACTATCTAAACTGCAACCATGTAAACATTACTGACCACCTAGACGAGCCTCCTTTGAGCTTAGACGCCCGATCTGTGTATTCAAGTCCACAGCCAGCACTACGATATCTCTCCAACGCACCTGTTTTAAGAGATCGCTAAGTTGGTAGTAGAACTCAACCTCAATTGCATTTGGGCTGCAATTCTTCGGTGCATCGACAGAGACAACAAATAGGCACCGCATATCTGGCCCACCACTCCTTACTTTCGTATAAGCTTCCGGCACAGATAAGCTGAGAATTCAGTCAAAAGCGAAAGGCTAACAGAAGTGAAGACGCCAAGGATAGCAAAAGTAAAACACAAATAGGGTTAACGAGAAATGCATCACTTGAAATATCATTAATGCTCAAGAGTTTTGTAATCGGCATGCGAATAGTTTTACTGGCGGTTCGTTAGTTTATTCCAGTGATTGCATGAGGACTGAGATACTGCCCAGGCGTCTAGACCGAAGCAGGTGGTTGTCTTAAGGGACAACCTGTCGAGCCTTTGACTTGGAGTCTAATCCCCAAGGCAGCGGAGTAGCGTCAGTAGTTACGTTCTCATGATTGCCGGTAAGCAATACAGGTTCATACGCCATTTGGTCCAATTGGATTCTCGAGCCCATGTACCCCATGGTGGTAACTGGCTTTAGTCTAACCGCTATCCGAGCAACCTTCCTAACATGTTAGGCCCTGCAGGTACATCAGTCGCTCACAGTTTAGCTTGTTGGGTCACTGAGGTATTCAAGCCCCCCCGACCACCACGACAAGGCAGCAGTTGTCAGCAGTGATGACTTCTGTCCCGGAAGCTAGCCCATTTTTCTGCTTTAAAATTTGTGTAATTTTTTATTCACATGCTTCTAGTGTAATAAGAGAGTGGGGTTGAAAATATAAGTAAGTAAGGGATGGTGTAGACGTCATCAGTTGGTTATGTCTTAATAGGCCAAGGGATGGATAATGGCTGTACGAACTTCTTTTGAATGGAGGCATAGTTTAGGTTTAATAGTTGTTCGAATGCCTATCGCCTGCCTCAGCTGTGTGTGTGCAGTAGACGAACGAATACGAAGTCTATTGGAAAGATTCGGTGGGATATGCGATGAATTACTTTGAAAGCTCTCGTTTTCTCCACTACATGGCCATTATCATCTAAATGTGACAAAATTGAGCTACGGATTGTTTTCGTTTGTCCTCTGCCAAACCATGATGATGGGAGATGTTCAGTAGTGACATGTTGGTTGGCTAAGCTGTCTAGTAGTGGTGTGCCCAACATAACTGTCACTGCAGGTGCAGTTGAATCGATAAATGCACATAGATGTGTGTCGAAACTCTATCCAGCTTATCCTTCGTTTGCATCCCAATCATTCGTCGGCTAGAGAATGACAAAATCATAGGTACGCTGGGTAAAACGTTCTCCGTATACTCCTGGAAAGTCTCTGGAATAAAATCTCACTTGACAGACAAGTCACCATTAAATTGTAACTTGATAAATATAGGTTTTTTTACGTGCAGTCAGGGTCTCAGGTTTTCTCTCTGATGTTTTCATATTGTGTTTTCTTATGAAACTACTCGGATAGCCAACCCATCTCCGTCAAGGAATCGTGAATATATATTCAAATTCCTTTTATATTTAATGGGCACGTAACTAAGGAAGGAAGTGTGTGTATATTGCCCTGTGAATGTGCTTTTCCTATACACACTTCTCCCAAGTGACCCATCTTCTCGCCTACTTACTTAGCAAGACATCCAGGAAATGTAGTTTACTATCCCACTCCTCCTCTTCACAAGTAAAAATAAGCGAAGGGTGAGTGTTGTTGTTTCATTGTCTGTGAATTATTCAGGTGTCAAAATTTGTTTAAATCTGTGACTCTTTTACATTTAAGTGGTAGTCATTTTTGAGTTTTTTTTTTTAATGAAAAATGAGATTTCCCTTCATTTCAACAAGCTGCAGGCAAGTTTATCACTGAAACCAGTTGCAAAACCGGTTAAATTGAATTTCTAGTGATTATTGACAATGTGTATTCCTTTTCAAAAATTTAAAACGGTTAGTCTCTTTTATAAATTTTGATAGCATTATTAGAACACGGAGATTATCTGAAAAACGATGTGATGTGATGTATTTGCGCTATACATTTCGAACAATCTGATCACACATTTACTTGTCAAGTCAATATATATTGAAAAGTTAAATTAAACAAAGTGGCAAAAAAGAATTAAGAATAATTAACACAAACGTTTGGTAATCCAATCAAATAAGGATTACCAAGGGAGGTAGGTTAAGAGTAATAACAAACTGTTTTTGAATACACAGGGGATGGGGGCTTAAGTTTATGAATGGCTATAGCCTCAGAGTATTTCAGCAAACGTCCTTGACCGTTTTTATAGATGACCTTAAAGGCTGAGTTAACATCAACCTTATGGTTCATCTCGATTAAATGTTTAGCTATAGACGAAGTTGGTAGTCTGGCACCTGCATCTATTGGCTTGTCACAATTCATCTGTTTTCCTAACCGCTTTGGGATATGCTCTCCCACCCTCACGTGCAACGCGCGATTACTCCTCCCTATGTATGTATGTCCACACACACACACACACGAAAATTGGTAAATTGAGTGGGATGTGATATAATCACTTGTGCACTTTTTAGGTTTCCAGTGAAGCATATTTTTGGCCTTTTCGACAATTACAAGCTGGGCTGCATAGTAGGTTCTACGGATGATGGAATTCAACCTTTGTCTCAAAATCCTACTATTTATTTCCCCATTATATGGTAATTTGATGAAAACCTTTTTCTTAGGGACGGTATGGATTGTAGGTTTCAAGGGGGCTAGTTGACTTCTACACCTGTTTAAAAATTTCAAAGGATATCCCCGTTTTCAACAAGAATATCCATCAATATTTCGTTTTCTCTGTCTATAACATCAGCTGAATCCTCTTGAATAGACACTTCACCAAGCCTCTCTTATATTGTAATGGACAGAAGCTGTGAAAATTAAAGTATTGCCCTGTCCAAGTGGGCTTTCTGTAGATAGACCGTCTTATTGAGCCATCGTCTCTTCGACTCAGAAGTATGTCTAAAAATGCAAGCTGGTTGCGACTTGACAAGTAAATGTGTGTGATCAGATTGTTGTTCGAAATGTATAGCGCATATACATCACATGTTTCAGATAATCTCCGTTTTCTAATAATGCTATCAAAATGTGTATTCCACATTTACTATATATATATATATATATATCATATTTTTCCCTTGCAGGATTTGAGACAAGAGTTACTTGTCCTCAGTCCGGGACCTATACGTTTAACTGACACACCATTATGCCTCTATGTACCAGTTTTATGGCCATGTGGATCACAAGAATCCTTACAAGTTCGTGTAGATCCTGTCCAGGGTTTTATATGCGCTTCTTTTCCACTTCTCACCTCACTTGACACGGAATTCGGTGCTATGAGTTCCCCAGTCAATGTTCCATCTAATTTTACGGGTATTTCTGAAAATTTTTCCCGTTCCAGTGCTATCAATGCACTCAGCTCATTGGAGTCGGCTTTCAATCAAGCCTCATCGAATCGTGTTCGTGTTGTCACCGCCTCAGGAGGTCTAGTTCAACCTTCTTCACATGAAAGTGATCGTATTTCGTCGATCCAATCAAGAAGTCTACGTAATCTAGCCCATGGTGATGTTCGTTGGCGTTCCATGATATCTGAGTCTCTGGAACATCTTCGACTGTGTTTAGGCTTGACGAGGTTAATGCAAACAGCCAAGATCCATCGACCATTTTGGCATCCATTTAAACGACATCTCCCATTGATTTTGTCTCCAGATCAAGTGGTCCAGGGAAAAACTCCCTGGTTTGAAATGTTGATCCGTATGCAACAATCATGTCGTTGGCCAATCCTCTTCGCTCAATTGTTTCCAAACAATGAATATTATATCGCCTGTGAAGTGATACTGGCTCCACTGAATGTTGAGTACAAGTATTATTTGATTGTTTGCCGTGCACTACCTGAGCACTATATGAGTATTACAACGAATTCGCAAGGGGTGCTTGTCTATAACCACAATGACGTAAGTTCCACAACTGTTGGGCAACATCCGAGTGAAACAGGATTATTTCTTCGAGTGACTCACTTTACACCACTTTCACCTGATATTGTCTGGTCAAATAATCCATCGATAACAGTAAGTTTCTGGTTTTTAAAAATTTACAAAAAAAATCTTCATCAATCGTTTTATTCTTTGCTTTTTTTAAAAAGACAATTTATTTATTTATTGAGTCAGGAATTCATATGGAGAATGAAGCTGTCACTAGGTGGTGTGTCTAAATGGTTTAATTTTTATTATTATTATTGTTTCCTTGGGTTCCTGGTGGAACATAGGGCTTCAACTGCACGCCTCCACTTGCTTCTGTCTTCTGCTGTACTTTTCACTTGTATCCATGTTAATCCATACTGTTTCAACTCCTCTTCACACGATCTCCTCCATGTCACCCTTGGCCCTTCCACTACTCGCCGCATCGCTTTCGGGTTCCACTCGAGCGATGGCCTGACGCGCGATGTCACCCAGCGGCCTCCTCAGCTGAGTGTCCAATCCATCTCCACTTCTTTCTCCTGCACATTTGTTGAGCGATTGGTTCTTGTTTTGTTTGTTTGTTCCCATAGTTTCTTGTTGGTTCTTGTTCTTTCCGGCCATCTGATCTTCAGTATGATACTACAGAAGACAGTTGTTGTTGTTGTTGATAAAGGTCTGCAACAGGCTGTTGGAAATATTCTTTGTGACCCGCCGCCAAGTTTCTCATCCGTACGTATAGAAGAACTGACTGACTTGACGTTTTTGTATTGAAAATCCGAATTTTGTTGTTGAGTGTTGTTGAGTGACGAAGATTTTCAGATTGGTTTCAGGTTGATGAATGTACTTCTCGTCTTTCCGATTCTCGATTTGACATCCTGGTCCGTTCCTCCCGTAGTTGATTGGCGCTGGATATCGCTGCTGTAGTTGTTGTTGTCGGTTGGTTATTTTCATAATCTCCGTCTTGTCTATGTTCACCTGTAGTCCTGTGTTTGCTGCTTCTTCGACCAGTTTGTCGGTTTCCCTTTGTATGTCTTCGATTTTGTGTGACATCGAACATGAATCATCCGCGAAATCCAGGTCTTTTTGGGTTCTTCACGTCGGTCCAGGATATCCCTGTCTTCTCGTTTCCCACTGTCGTCTGACGCATAATCCAGTCCACCACAATTAGGAATATCATTGGTGATAATAAGCACCCTTGTCTGACTCCTGTGTTTACTCCAAACGCCTCGCTGAGTTTTCCGTTGTGGATCAGTTGACATGTGCCGTTGTCGTACAGCTGTTGAATAATGGTTTAATTTAATGCCTAAAAATTATAATAATGCTAGTAGAATAGGATGGTACTATTAAAATACATAAACCAGGTTGCCTCATACGATCACTAGTAGACTTTAGGAATACACCCCCCTACTTGAGAATTATCAAAACATCGAAAACAACCATTGGTTGAGTCATGAAGAAAAAATAAAAGACAAATTCAGCCAGAGAAGGAAATCTTTCTTTATTGACGAAATCATCTTCACAGGCTGGTTTGGCTGTACAGTCGTATTTATACTTACCAAATATATATATATGTAGTGGTCTATTGTTGAGTAATAGGGGGAGGGGGTGAAGTGACTTAATTGATATAATTACTCACTCGGAAGTGGCTTTAGAAGTAAAAGAAATTAAAAGTTGTAAATTATGTGGTACTCAACGGAACAAACATAGAAATTTGATAAGGAAGGTTAAAATCGCTATTGAGTGAGAGAGAATAAAGGTGGTAGTTGAGTGTCAATTTAACAAGTGTGTCGAGAGGGTGTGAAAATGTACAACAGGGAGCATATGAGAGTGATAAAAGTGAATTAATTATTAAAGCAAAAGCAAACTGGAAAGTAAAATTGAAAATTACAAAAAAGAAAAGAAAAATATCAAAATTTTTTTTAACAGGGAACGATTAGTGAGAAGGTTAAGACCAAGGTAGAATAAGAGACTGGACAAACTTTTTGTCTGTATACAGAGTTCAGGGTTGTATTCACGTTGGATCGCCAGCGCCTCCGCCATACACAAAAGCCGAAACCTAACGCCCTTTCTACCATTTGGCTTCACTTTGTAGATGAGCTTGAAAGACGACTCTGGTGGAGCTACGAGTTCACTAAATGCTCGAGAATTGACCTAGTGATTGCCTTGCATTGTTCCTTTGCTAACCAAGCCGGATAATGTCGATAATAATGTCGTCGATAAAGAAAATTTTCTTCGCTGAATCTGTCTTTTTTTATTATCGAAACAGGTAGCTCTAATAGTATGCCCCCATTAGGAATCATTCAAACTCTCGACTAACTAACTAATTCATATGAGATGAAAAATAAACTAAATGACATTCAACAACTAGAGAATGATGAAACAACGGTTAGTTTTGATATATATAACTAGTCTTTATACTAACATAACAATCGAAATGGGAGCCTCGGAAGCAGTTAAAAAAGAACTAACTGCAGATCCTGAACTCACTCACTCATAGGACAAAGCTGTCCATTGAAGAAGTTATTTTAGGAATTCAGTTATGCGCCACATTCACATCTACACTGTCTTTAAATTCCAAGGCAAAATTTATATAGACAAACAGAAGGTGTAGTAATGCGATGGATCACCAATATCCCCTATCGTAGCAGACATATTTATGGACAACTGGGAAAATATGGCTCTCAATACATTTACTTAATCCTACTCCAAGAATATGATGGAGATATGTGGATGACTGACACTTTCACACACAGTGTTAAAAATAGAACAGATCTCTCTCTAGTTTCTTGACACAGACGCATAAACTCACTAGTAGAGGGAATAAAATTCACATTTGAATCGGAAAACGAACAAGCAGAATTGGCTGAGATGTTTGTTAGGTCGTAAAATAAAAGGAATAGAAGAAGAAGGTAGAGTGGACATCAGCGTTCATCCAAAAAACCAACGCATTGTGCTAATAGATATTTAGACTTTAATTCATCTCATTCATCTATTAACTGTAAGACAGAGTTAGTTAAGTGTCTAACAAACCGAGCAGTAGCACTAAGCAGTACAAGAAAAGACCTAAATGATGAAATAAAACAGACAGAGGAAGAAGCGTTGGTGTCAAATAACTAACTATCCTATAAAATTCATTAGGAAGATCAGAAAAGGCCAAAATCAAAACAAAAATAATTGTGAAACTAGTAATAAAGAGAGAATATAAGTCATCCATTGTTATACCCTATAAGGAGGGAGGGGACATCTGAGACACTCACTCCCTATGTAGGTTTCTGAATAAAGCAGGAATTAGGCTGGTGGTAGCATTCAAACCTACAAACTAACTCGCTCAGGTAGGGCAAGCTCTGAAGGCTCTGTAAGACCCTGTCGGTTGACCCATTTAGAGAAAATAATATCATGTACAAAATACCTTGCAATGACTGTGAGTTAGGTCAACTACCTACATAGGTCATACTAGTAGGTCAGGGGTAGTCAGATTGTCAGAACATAAGAATTTAGCCAAGGTAAGGATGGTTGACCCCACCCGAGAAGATGAGTAATTTAGAAAAAAGCTCAGCAATTGCAATGCATGAATTAACACACAACCACACAAAGCATGTTGGGAGAGGGTTAATATTCTAAGAACTACTGTGCGTAGGTGGAGATAGAGAGTGGTTGATTACTGAATCCTGCCTGGCTTATTGAGTCTACACTCAACAGAACACATGCAACAGAAATGACTCAGTGCAAATACCAGAAATACGGAAGACATTATTACCACCAGTCAGTCAGTCAGTCAAATCAGAGGAGGATAATAAATAATCCTGAATTGTATTCTATTTCAATTCAATTCACGTACATCACAACATTCTAACAAGTTACTTATTTTGACTATAAAAGAAACACTCGTCTTATTTCCCATCTTATTATTGTAATTGATCAATAACACTCATATTATGATTTCTGAATGTACATTATCCTATATTACTGATTTGTATTCAAATGTCTAATCATCAATTCCACACATGTATGTAAATGAAGGAAAACGAAAGTTGTGTGAGTGAGTGAGTGAGTGACTTGATATGATGATTATGAGTGGGAATAATAAATTGTGCTGGAAACGTGGTCGCATCAGTTAATATTTCTGTATAACACTACACACACTGTGTGTGACAATTTATCAAAATAAAATCTTATCCAGAATGAATTTTTCAAAGACTCTGTTCATACTACTAAATGATTAAAGTTAGTAGCTAAATGCCACTTACATCATTAAATAGTGCTTGCTAGACGGCGAGGCTAAAGTTACCTAAGCAGTGGACAACAGTTGTACCATATGATAAACTCATCTCCAAACAAGTGAGATGGCCGGCCATCCAGTGTTTAGATCATGTCTGTCTGGTGCTGACTAGTACTTCGCCTACTCATATCATTTCATAAGTAGTAAATAACGCCGTGCTTGGAATGGCAGTCACCTCTCTATCTCACTCAACTTCATCGACTTTGAAAAGGCCTTCGATCGAGAGGTGATTTGGTAACTACTTCACTACTACCACAGGGTGCCACCGACAATTATACATCTCATCCAACAGCTAGTTGTACGACAATGCTGCATGCCGCCAAGTAATCCACAACGGGAAACTCACGGAATCCTTCGAAGTGAGGACAGGAGTAAGACAAGCTGGCTGGCTGCCTACTATCGCCAATGATTTTCCTGATTGCAGTAGACTGGATAATGCGACAAACAGTGGCGGGCAATGAGGAAACAGGCATAAATGGACTTCGCCGATTATATATGTCTGATTTCCCACAAACTGGAAGATATGCAAGCGAAAAGCAACAAGTCGGCAGAAGAAGCATCCAGAGAACATAGGACTTCAGGTGAACATGGAGAAAACAGAGGTGATGAAGATTCCTGGCCAACAACACCAACAGCAACAACCACAACAGACAACAATCAGCCAGCATAAATGGGAGGAACCTGAAAGAAACAACCTCCTTTGCCTACCTGGGAAGCATCGTTTCAACTACAGGCGGAACTGACGAGGATATCAAAGCAAGGATCGGAAAAGAAGGCGTTCAGCGAAGAGACTCTTTTCGGCGATCGGAAAAGCACGACAAGCTTTCACTACTCTCAAGTCTGTGTGGAGGTCAACAGCACTCAGCATGAAAAATAAGATCCGGATCTTCAACTCCAATGTGAAGTCAGTGCTACTATACGGATCAGAGACTTGCACTGCGCGTCATAAAGAGCATCTCAAACAAACTACAGACCTTCATTAACAGTTGTCTTCGCTCAATACTCAAGATCAGATAGCCGGCCAGAAAAGATCAGCAACAGGTAAACTGGATTCTGGGAGATAGACAGTTTGTCATCTCCAGGAATGAACTGTGTAGATGTCGTTTTAGCACTACAAAAGTATCATCTACTTATATCTTGACCATATTTTTTGATACTTTGAATATATACCGAAGTATTAGCGTGTTAGCTAAACAGTTTTAAGCAACTTTTACAAATCACGTACTCAGTCTTAACATACCTTTCATAAATGAATTTTTTTCTATATTTCTGTATATATGAATGATCATAACAAGTTAGATAAATTAACTCATCATTGTGATACCCTGTCTGTGATAGAGATACAGTGGTCGACGTTGCATTATAATTGGATAAATTAATTTTTTGAAAAAGGTGTGTAATTATAAGATTAGTAGACAAATCGAATAAATTAAAAACGTTACGTAATATTGTGTGAAATTTAATAGCATAGAATTTAACGTTGTATTAAAGAAGAATCGATTTTGAATGACAAGTGGAACAAGTGAAATAATACCGGTGACAGTTCAAAGTGAGAGTAGTAATATTAGTAACAATTGACGTAATAAGGAAGAGTATACAAATTGAATAGACAAAAATGAAAAAATGGAATATTGGTAGAGGTAAAATATGATTGGGGATTACCATACTTTAGCATAGAGGGATTAAGACCATGAAAGTTGGAGGGGTTGAACGAACTTTTTCTGTATACAGAGATCTGGCTTCTCTGTTTCGATAGCCAAAGATGGCTTCAGCAATACAACAGATGAGTCGGGTATGTAGGGATTTGGGTAAATTACTCTTTGCCTTGTAGATGACCTTAAAGGCGGAGGCTATAGAGATAATTGGGTGATCATTATCTCAAGGAGATGTTCAATGATCGCGCTTCTTATTGCTCTACTTCCATCTCTTCGTAACTACATTGCAGGATAGTGTTCTAGCACTCTTTTGGACTAAACTCGAGTCGAACGACCGATATACCTAACTCCACACGAGCAGGTGAATCGATAAACACCCACATAGAGTTGGTCAACAGCGAGATCTTGTCCTTCAGGTTATTGAAAAGTAATGGTCGACTAGTAAAGGCTATCTATTCTCAGAGATGCAACAGGGAATGTTCTTTTCAGGGACTCTGATATCCTTCTTTTCATGATGATATCAGAAGCTAAGTCACCTTTGACTTCCAAGCTCATGTAAAGTATTTTCTTGGGTGTGGATGATAAGTCACGTTTTTTAGGATGTGATGGTATATTCTTATCTATAAAACGTGGTGGAAATCCATTTTCTATTAGGATTTTCCTCAAGATGTATAACTCATCATCCACAGTATCAAGGCTACATTTTCTTTTCCTTTCTTAATTTATTTGCATATTTTTTTTCTTCGATTTCAGTTGCAACGATTATGTGCTTGTATTCAGAAGGCTCAATCAAATATCGCCGGTGGACGTTCATCGCGTTTAACTGACCTGTTGAATAGAATTAAATTATCACATGGAATAGACGACACTGAGACAATTTCTGGTAGTAGTAGTAGTAGTAGTGGGAGTGTTATTGACCACCAGTCAACAACAACCAGATTGGATGAACCTCAAGCTATTGTTCCAACATTAGCTCATTTATTCTCAAGAATAGGCGAAAATTTAATCACTAGTTATCTGACAATGGAGGTAAGTTAGTTGGTTAGTTATACAATGAAATAATACAATGCGTTTTGTGTTGTGTACATTCAGTTGTTTTTCCTGATGATGTGTGTCTAATCTGTCTGTCTGTCTGTTTTCGACAAAGAACTTTGTACCAATGTGCAGCAGTTCAAGTCGCCACACTCCCTTCACTGACTATCGACCAAGGGGCGTGTGTACTGCTCAGCAGTCCGCTCCGTCCTCCTTTATGGCCGTGAGTGAGACCTGGCCATTGAGAGCAGAAGACATGAAAAGATTGTCTGTGTTCGATCATAGGTGTCTGCGTTCTATCTCCCGCGTGAAGTGGTATGATAAGGTGAGCAATATTGAGGTCAGGCGTCGAGTGCTAGGTAAGGCGGGGAAATCAGTCGACGAATCTGTGAAATTACTTCCACTGAGATGGTTAGGACATGTGCTACATATGCCTAGTCATCGCCTTCCCCGACGGGCAATGTTAGCTGATATAGGGCCAGGCTGGAAAAGAGCTAGCCAGTGGAGGTCAAACCAAAACATGGCACCAGTCAATGAAATCCACAACCGTTAGTTTAAGCCACGTAGGAAGGCGTAGACTTCCTGACTGGTTGGGGCCCTTGGTGACATGGCTCAAACTCGTTCTCAGTGGCGCAGATGCATCCACTTCTTGTGACTTATGATTTCCAATGAAACTGTTTTGTTCTTCGTTATTATTATGCCTTTGTCTCACCTATGTTTACTGTCTCTAATATGCATTTCTTCTACTTTCTTCTCTTCCTTTGTGCGCTACATGGAGTGTGGCGACTTGAACTGCCGCACATATGTGCAAAGTTCTACGTCGAAAACCGACCGACTCCCTTTACTCCATGTAACACACAAAACGCAAGAGAAGAAGGTAAAAATGAAGTGCATAATAGGGCGAGAGACAGTAAACACAGAGGTGTGGTGAGACAAAGGAAGAGTAATAACGAAGAATACAATATAGTTTCATTGGAAATCATAAGTCACAAGGAGTGGATGCATCTGCGCTATGTATTGAGAACGATCACTTTGAGCCATATCATCACGAATTGTTTCCAGCCTTCATTGGTTTTCACCGTCATCCCGAGGACCCCAACCAGTCAGGAAGCCAGTCTACACTTTCCTACGTGGCTGGCTGGCTGGCTGGCTTAAACTAACTGTTGTGGATTTATTCATTGACTGGTGAAGTCATGTTTTGGTTTGACCTCCACTGGCTAGCTCTTTTCCAGCCTGACCCATCCTATGTCAGCTAACATTGCCCATTGTGGAGGAAGGCGATGACTAGGCCACGCATACGTTACACATGTCCTAACTATCTAAGTTGATGTAATTTCACAGGTTAATCAATTGATTGACTTCCCCTCCCACCTACCTAGAACTCGACCGATGCCCCACCTCAGTATTGCTCACCTTATTATACTACTTCACACGGGAACTGGAAAACTATAGCCCAAAGTATTCACATGGATGGCCAAATATGAACTTGTTCACTACGAGTGATATATAAAATATGACAGTATAATATACATAGAATATTCTAGATTAGTAGTCAATAACAATATCAGTGTTTTTTTTGAATAATATCGATTTGTAAAGGAAGATCACAATTGGAATCACCACAGTTCATTAAAGATGCTTAAATAATAATAATAATAATAATAATAATAATAATGATAATATTAATAAAGATATAGTAGGAAATAGAATATCAACTAAAATTAGGAAAATTCCACAAAACTTCAGGATCGATCATTCAAACCTAGATGGCCAAGTAGGTAAGGATAATGTCTGAACCAACCAACTTCTGCTTTTGGATGCACAAATTAGGCTTGTTAATATGGATCCCAGCACAGCCAGCCAGCCAGCCTCAGCAATATTTAGTAGTCGAACTGTTAAGGCGAAATTGAGATTTGTTAGTTGGTATGCGGTAAATGACCGTGAAAGCCGCCGCCTTGTTAACATCAATCAGTCTTGTGTTTTGTATCTACAAGAAGATGATTGAGACAGAATAGAAAAGCAGCGGTGAGAATAGATTTTGTTTGTCCTTTGCTTAACCAGAAAGAAGAGGATGAATTTATCGGAAGGGATTTTTTTGCTGGCTCAATTATTTTGTGTTTTTTTTAACAATTTTTGTAGTTTGACTAAGTTATTTAACTTTCAGTGTGTTTTAAAAACAATTTTTTGTCATGAAAGACCATATTCTTGGCATATTTTAAGAACAGGTGATTTTTATTCTTCTTCACATCAATATTTAGCTTTCGTGTGCAGGAATTGAACACACTGGGATACATTATGACGGGTCAGGCTGTTTACCTACAATCGGAATAACCAGGTCAGTCAGTTATCATACTTCCTGCATGTACATGTCTTACTTGGTAGATTATTTTTCAAAAGAATGGATGGATACTGAACAAAGAATATTCTTTTCGATAACATCATCATCAGGCTCTACAGTTATATAAATCCTTCCATTATGGTGAATGAATTAGTGCTATGAACAACAACATTCATGTTGTTGCATTAGCGGTGCTTCGATGATGATTTCGTCAATTCTTCAATGTTAGCTGGCGGGCTTTGTGGCCAGCCGGTTTGCACCAGATGGTCCAATATCGAAATGTTCATGATGGTTTTCACTACACACCTTTACTTAGCCATAGTGGGAGATGTTCTCGAGCGAGCAGGTAAAGTAAAGTTCCTAGAGCAACAACGGCCAATATAACTCGCTCCACAAACACAAGCGCAGTTCAATTGATAAATACAATTTGAAGTGACCAGCTAGTCTAGGTACTTCATCTTTCAGTCGAGGAATCCCCATCGGTCGTGTAGAGAATAAGACGTGTAGTTCGCCAGCAGTGAAAGTTCTTTGAACTGATTTTCTTAATTTCTTCGTAATTATCTCACTTGGTATAACGATCGCCCTTGAATTGTAGTCGTATATAAAGTGGCTTCTTGTTCACGGACGGATAGTGAGTAGTCGTTTTCCGCCGCTTTCTTTGTCAAGTGTTTCTTGATAGCTATTTGTCGGGATAGCTACTTTCGATCTATCAAAGTATCATATTCAATGCCTAATTCATCTTCAATTACTTCTTCTGAGCATATAGCTCTAACTAACTCTGTGGCCGAGTGAGGGTCTTTACTAAATTTCTTTTGTACTGGACAGAGGAACGAAGCTGTGAAAATGTGTGTATATTTTCCTTTAAATAAAGAAAAGTGTCTCATTGTTGAATTCTCAAAAGTGTTTTGGTATTATACTAATACTAACCGAAATCGTGTAGGAATTCGCATTTTATCAAGGAAAACGAGCACTCCAACATTAAATTTTGGATATGGATATTACCACTCAAAGAAAACTTTCAACTGATCGTTTTTTGGTGTTTGAGTATATTATATTTTTTAAGCACACCACAGAATAATAATAATAATAATGGTTTTATCAATAATAAGGATGAAAAAGTGAGGCAATCTGTGATAACACGAATACTGATGAAAAACAGCATGAATAAACAAACAACTGTTCAAGTGGACGTGGTAGTCGATATAGGCTAGTAAAAGCAAATGAACTGAATAAGTAATGTTAGACTGACTGTAAGGGAAGTAAATGAAACACGTTTTTAATGAAGCTGTGATAAGATTAAGGGATGATAAGAGAGTTGGGTTGAAAATATAAGTAAGTAAGGTGTGATGGTGTAGAAGTCATCAGTTGGTTATGTCTTAATAGGCCAACAAGGGAAGGGGGGATAATGGCCGTGTACGAACTTCTTTTGAATGGAGGCATGGTTTAGGTTTACAAGTTGTTCGAATGCCTATCGCCTGCCTCAGCTGTGTGTGTGCAGTAGACGAACGAATACGAAGTCTATTGGAAAGATTCGGTGGGATATGCGATGAATTACTTTGAAAGCTCTCGTTTTCTCCACTACATGGCCATTATCATCTAAATGTGACAAAATTGGGCTACGGATTGTTTTCGTTTGTCCTCTGCCAAACGATGATGATGGGAGATGTTCAGTAGTGACATGTTGGTTGGCTAAGCTGTCTAGTAGTGGTGTGCCCAACATAACTGTCACTGCAGGTGCAGTTGAATCGATAAATGCACATAGATGTGTGGCGAAACTCTATCTAGCTTATCCTCCGTTTGCATCCCAATCATCCGTAGGTTAGAGAATGACAAACACATAGGTACTCTGGGTAAAACGTTCTCCGTATACTCCTGGAAAGTGTCTGGAATAAAATCTCACTTGACAGACAAGTCACCATTAAATTGTAACTTGATAAATAGAGGTTTTTCTACGTACAGTTAGGGTCTCAGGTTCTCTATCTGATGTTTTCACATTGTGTTTTCTTATAAAACTACTCGGATAGCCAACCCATCTCCGTCAAGGAATCGTGAATATATATTCAAATTCCTTTTATATTTAATGGGCACGTAATTAAGGAAGGAAGTGTGTGTATATTGCCCTGTGAATGTGCTTTTCCTATACACACTTCTCCCAAGTGACCCATCTTCTCGCCTACTTACTTAGCAAGACATCCAGGAAATGTAGTTTACTATCCCAATCGTCCTCTTCACAAGTAAAAATAAGCGAAGGGTGAGTGTTGTTGTTGAATTTCAGCAACAATTCGTCTATATTAACATTCCCATCAGCTAAGATAAATCCATGTATCATCGACATATCGGTAATACATATCAAGCTACTTGATGATGTCCTTCAATTTCCCGTTCTCAAGTTTACTTTCTGGCTTAAAATGGCTTTTAATGTATGTGTAAACTTGGTCACTGTGGTAATGGTAGTAAGTAATTCCATATTAGTTTGTTTATTAGATGTATCACACAGTCAGGGAAACAGTATTAGTATTTACTGGATGACAAAGTTGTTTCGAACACAATTCATCATTATTGCTGTTCATAATCATACACATCACCAATTATTATAATCACACGACTTCGAAACTTGAGTTTTATAGTCAGTCTTCTTTGTTCTCTCCTATTTGTCGTCGTCATTGGGGTAGTAGAATTCTCCAGATATCAGAGTGGACAGGTGTTGAATCATTCCTATTACACCTGCTGATTTGCAGTTGATTCGATAAAGAAAGCTTCCATTATCAATCTTCCCCACTCGACACATTGTTGATTGTATTAGATTTTCAAACTGTCATCTTATCCCATCCAGCCTATTTTATGGTTGTGTGTGTGTGTACATGCATGTAGTGCTTGCGATAGCTGCTGAACTATTCTCTAGATTTCTTATCTTATTCGGGTCAACCGATGTAGATTTCGCTGCTGGATGTTTATGCTGCTCGGCTAGTCTGACTCGCTGACTGGCCCTGTTCTGCTACTTTAACCTACTATGTATTTGATCTGACAATCATCTCACGCAGGGTATTAGATAAACTCAATTGTTTTGTCAGTTAAAGGCACCACAGGATTGATCCTTAAACCGATAAAGCTTGTTTCTAATTGAGTTTGTGGTTGGTTTGAATTCCAGCAGCCACTTTTATTCCTGTCTGCCTTGTTAAGAATTCGCCGCTGTAAGGTGGTTTCCGAGGTTCCTTCCTTGTACGGAATTACTAGTGATGATTTAGATCCCTTATTGTTGGATTTGTCTTGCGTGTTTTTGACAAGCATGTCGTTATTATTATTATTATTATTACAACTATCATTATTTATGTTATTTTTACATTTCCTTACATACTTTCTGGCTAATTTATCACTGTCTCATCAACATATTTCGATTCCATTATCTGTTTCTCCTCTTTTTTTGTTTTCAGCATACCCTTCAATCCGCCTAGTTGGTACCCGACAGGCATCGTCCCACTGATGAATTATGTTCATGAAATAATCCTGCGTCCATATTTCGATCCATTTACACATCGTCGTAGTTGGCAGTTGGACATATTGTTCACTGGGATTCAACCACACTTACACTTGGACTCCTCAATAAATGGAGCTAATCGGCGCAAATCTTCAAAATATTATATACGTCATCAAACAGCTGAATGGACTATTTCAAGGCTGCACCACTTTATTATCGTTGTGCATAATATACTCATAGAATGGGAAAGTTTATGTTTAATGCACGCTTTATGTTACCAAGTGGTTAATAATCCTGGTAAGTGCGCGCGATTAGACGCTTTCTTTCTTTGTGTTCAATTATTAATAATGGTGTAATTTTTTCTATATTTTTTAAAAATTGAATTTTAGATTTTCCCGTCCATTGATTGATTGATTAACTGGACCGAAGTGTGCTTAGTCTCCGGGGTTGACTTGTCTGTGTTGGCTTTTTTTGTGCGGATATGCTTCGACGATGTGTCTGGGCATTTAATTTAATTAGAATTTAATTGGTGGATGGTGACTAGCAGTCGTGGAATCCAGTCCAGGATAAGGCGCATTTCACCGGTCCTATTTGGGACTCGTCAGTTGGCTGGATGTACCTGCATTCCTCAGTGAATGATGATGCTCCCACCACGGAGACTCGAACCCGGTGCTCACTTATTTGCGAAGTACCATCAACCCCAACGTTAACGGGTTGATCTCTGAGGAAATCTCAACTGGGTACGGACACATAGGGCTAGTTTCACATATGCCCGCCAGTTTACGCCGTCTCTGGCTTCGTAGACGTGATATCCGGCTGACTGGCTGTCGACCAGAGGGTGGGTGTACTGCTCAGCCAGCAGTCCGCTCCGTCCTGCTTTATGGCAGTGAGTGAGACCTGGCCATTGAGAGCAGAAAACGTGAAAAGATTAGCTGTCTTTGATCAGAGGTGCCTGCGTTCTATCTCCCGTGTGAAGGGGTATAATAAGGTGAGCAATACTGAGGTGAGGTGTCGGTCGAGTGCTAGGTAGGTGGGAGGGGAAATCAATCGATGAGACTTTGAAGCTACATCGACTGAGATGGTTAGGACATATGTTATGCATGCATGCTTAGTCATCGCCTTCCTCGACAATGGGCAGTGTTAGCTGGCTGACATAGGATTGGTCAGGCTGGAAAAGAGCTAGCTAGCGGCGGTCAATGAAATCCACAACAGTTAGTTTAAGTCACGTAGGAAGGTGTAGACTGGCTTCTTGACTAGTTGGGGTCCTCGGGATGATGGTGAAAACCAATGAAGGCTGGAAACAACTGTTGATGATATGGCTCAAAGTGATTGTTCTGAATGGCTGGCTGGCTGGCGCAGATGCATCCACTCCAATGAAACTATATTGTGTTCTTTGTTATTACTATTCCTTTGTCTCACCACACCTCTGTGTTTACTGTCTCTGTCTCTATTATGCACTTGATTTTTACCTTCTTCTCTTGCGTTTTGTGTGCTACATGGAGTGGAGGGAGTATGGCGGCGACTTGAACTGTTGCACATCGGTGCAAAGTGGTTCTATATCGAAAACAGACAGACACGATAGATTTTGTTATAGAGTTCTGATATGCATAAAAATACAACAACTACGTCTATTTATTTAACAAAATTGGATAGAAAGATATAACGATAATATTGAAATAGAGATGCCAACACAGTTACTACTTTTGGGATTGTACAAATTGTACAAATATGTCTACTTCTCACTCGGCGCCCAAATATTTTAGAACTATTCCGTCAAATCTTGACGAGTATTCAGTGCTGCTGAATTATACTGTGTCTTCACCCCCCACCCTCCCTATTTTGGTGTTTGGGAGTTAGAGATAAACTGCCTGACATCGCCTCTCTTATGTGTATCTACTAAATGAACTGATCCTATGGAGCCAGTGAGTTGTATAGGCCGCCGTACAATCAGGCGTCAGATTTCCCGATATAATCCCGACTAAGTAAATTATTATTATTATTAATACTGTTTCCTTTAATTCGCATAGGAACATAGGGCTTCAGCCAAACGTCTCCATTGCGTTCGGTTCTCTGCTAGAGTCTTCACGTGGCTCCATGTCTGCCCACACGTTTTCATCTCCTCTTCACGTGACCTCCTCCAAGTCACCCTTGGACGACCAACTCGCCGCTTCCCTTTCGGGTTCCACTCGAGCGATGGCTTGTCTAGTGATGTCACTCACTTGATGGTTTCCTCAGAGTAGAGCCAATCCATCTCCATTTCTTCCTGCTTATCTGTTGCACAATCGGTTCCTGCTTTGTTGGTTCACTCATTGCCAGAGATCCCTGTTGCTGATCTTTTCTGGCCATTTGATCTTGAGTGGTATTGAGCGAAGACAACTGTTAATGAAGGTCTGTAGTTTGTTTGAGATGCTCTTTATGACTCGCTATCCAAGTCTCTGATCCGTATGGTAGCACTGACTTTGCATTGGAGTTGAAAATCCGGATCTCATTTTCATTTTCATGCTGGGTGTTGAGTGTTGTTGACCTCCACACAGACTTGAGAGTAGAGAAAGCTTGTCTTGCTTTCTTGATCCTTGCTTTGATATCCGTCGGCCTGTAGTTGAAACAATGCTTCCCAGGTGGGTAGGTGAAGGAGGTTGTTTCTTTCAGGTTCCTTACATTTATACTGACTGTTGTTGTTGTTGTTGCTGTTGGTAGTGTTGCCCAGGAATCTTCACCATCTCTTTTTTCTTTATGTACACTGAACTCCTTCCTATCTTTGATGCTTATTCTGCCAACTTGTTGCTTTTCGCTAGCATATCTTCCAGTTTGTGAGAAATCAGACATATATCATCGGCGAAGTCCAGATCCTTCAATTTTTTTGTGTGACTCTATTTTATGCCTGTTTCCTCATTGCCCGCTGTTTGTCGCATTATCCAATCTACTGCAATCATGAAAATCATTGGCGGTAGTAGACAGCCAGGCAGCCTTCCTTGTCTTACTTCCGTTTTTACTTCTTCCAAGGATTCCGTAAGTTTCCCGTTGTGGATTACTTGGCGGCATGCAGCATTGTCGTACAACTAGCTGTTGGATGAGATGTATAATTGTCGGTGGCATCCTGTGGTAGTAGCGAAGTAGTTGCCAAATCACCTCTTGACTGACGCTGCACTATAGAAGGCCTTTTCAAAATGGATGAAGTTGAGTGAGATAGAGAGGTGACTGCCATTCCAAGCAGGATTTGTTCAATGATGATCCGTCATGTGGCGATCTGATCAATGCATGACTTGTTTCTCCTGAATCCAGCCAGCCTGTTCCGGTCGAAGTTTTTCATCCAGCTCGCCGTGTTTGATTCTCTCCAGGATGTTGCGGCTTAGTATTTTTTCCTTGGGATGGACAGGAGCATAATTCCGCGCCAGTTCTTGCATTGACTAGGATTAAGTAAAGGACAAACTAAATCCATCCATTCATAGCTCTACTCTTTACCGCATTTCGTGGATATAAAGAACACACAAGATATGATGTTCATGATGTTTTCAAAGTTATCCATGTATCGCTTACATCGACTAATCTTAACGTTACCACCTTAAGAGTTTGTCTAAATACCTATTGCTGAGACCTATTGGGATCCCCTCATTAAGAAAATCAAAGTTATAAATCCAAAAAAAGAAGCTAGTTCACACATTGTCCTTCCCTTGGTCATGAAAGGTTTCTTTAATGATCATCTTCAATTTGTTGTGGAAATTTCCTCTTAATTTTATTTGATATATATCCTATTTGCTATTACATTTTTATGCTTATTATTGTTATTATTATTATAATTTATGCATCTTTCGTGAACTGCTGTCTGTAATTCCATGGATCTTATAATTAACGAATCGACAGTATTTATTAGTATTATAATTGTTATTATTATGATTACACTGAAAACGCAAATTTGGTACATTGTAGGGGCACCAAAAGATGTGAGACGCACAAACTGTGTTGTGAGAGATCTGGGGGATACTTGTCCAGGTACACTGAGAAGACATTGTAGTTTGTTATTTAAACTTGAATGAATGAATGTAATCCAGCTAACAGCACTGAGACAAATGGTGTGATTCGGTCGGTAAAACACACACCGTGCTGATGTGTCGACCCTCAGCATCATCATCATCATTATTCTTTCTTCATTAGAATTCGCTTGTAGGCGGCGCTTGTTGAACACTGACCATGTAACAACAGAAGACAAGGGCCAGTCAGGCAACAGATCGTTTATATTAAGGAAAATCAACACATATTTATAGATTTTCATGTACATTATTGTAGATTATTGTTAGTAGAAAATACAGTCTTTTGATTGGTGGTTGTTTCTCACAGAAAGTTAACCTTGCATCTCTTTGTGGCTGGCTGTGTCAGATCATCCATATGCTAACTGTATCCGCCTACGCAAAGCCTTTGTTCTCTCTCATCTTTTCACCACCAATATTGGGGACATAAACATTGACGTCAATTACTGTCGTCTACCAACATTGGCTAGCAGCCAGCTCTCGCCACAACCATACACACCTGTGAGAATACTCACTCATACGGGATGATAGACATTAAATGGAAGCTGATTAAACACCACCTATGAGTGTAGAAAGCTGAGAGAGAGAGAGAGACATTTAGAAACACAAGAACCACCACCACCACCAACCCTGAAATAATAAGTGATTTCAACAGCAGCGAAAAAAGGAAAAAACAGTCATGATAAATGGCCACATAATTGAATAATGCACACTGTGATTTCCATTATGGGTAAATTTTGTTTTGATAAAGTCTCACAGTGTTATACAGTAATGTTTACTGATGACGTATCGAGCACAATTTATTACTGCTCATAATCATATCAAGGTATTAAACCTAAAAACTCACTCAGGGACAAGCTCTGTAGGTTAAAGAACCCTGTCGGTTGACCCAATTAGACAAAATAATATAATTTACAAAATACCCTGCAATGACTGTGAGTTAGGTCAACTACATACGTCAAACTAGTAGGTCAGGGGTAGTCAGATTGTCACAACATAAGAATTTAGCCAAGGTAAGAATGGTTGACCCCTAGAAGATAAGTAAGCTCAGCAATTGCACTGCGTGCATTAACACACAACCGCACAATGAGATGGTGGGAGAGGGTTAAAATTCTAAAAAGTAATCTAGGTAGGTGGGAATGGAGAGAGGTTGATTACTGAATCCTGCCTGGTTCATCTAATCTACACCCAACACATGCAATAGAAATGATTCATCACTCATTCCCGAAATATGGAAAATATTACTACCAATCAAATCAAATGAAGATCAAGTGAAAAACAATGAGACTATATAAATGAATTTAGGAAGTCGTGTGATCACCTTGATATGATTATGAGCAGTAATAAATTGTGCTCGAAACTTGGTCATCAGTAAATATTACTGTATAACAACACTGTGAGACTTTATCAAAACAAAATTTACCCATAGTGAAATTACTCTCTACCACAGAACACAAGTTTTATTCTTATATCAATGGATCAAAAATTACCTGAAAAATCCACACAAGTTAACGAGCTCCTCCATCTACCCTTAGACTGAAGCGCTGAAAAAAAACCCGGGGAGTATGCGGAAATGCAGAAATATTATCACTTGTGTAGTAAAATGCGAAGACACCACCAAATTTTACACCTACATGATTCTTGCATCTCTTCAATCAAACAAAAACACAAATAGACTTAGAGAACAAGAAGAATTAATTGTATTTCAGCCCGACCGAAAACTGCTACCTTGACGTGGTGGTCGGGCTTGAACACCGCAATGACCCAACAAGCTATACTGGCTAAGACTTATGTCGCTTGAGGTCTTACCATGCTAGAAAGGTTGTTTGGATAGCGGTTAGACAAAAAGCAGTTGCCCAACCCAATGCTATGCCTCAAAGTAAATCACAAATTATCATGCGGGATCGGTCGGGGCTTGGATTAACAACGACCGCGATTCCTGCTGCCGTGTCACAGGAAAGAAGTGATAAATATGCTACTGAGACACAACGAACAAGAAAAAACAAACAAAAACAGACAGGTAAAGACTCTAGCAGAGAACCGAACGCAATGGAGATGCACGGCTGAAGCCCTATGTTCCTCTAGGAATTATATATATATATATGTGTTTGTTTGTTTTTATTAGACTTACTATGTGTGAGAGATAAAAAACCACACTTCAAGTCTTCTGAGTATCTTCTCATAAAGCAAAAAAAGGATGCACTATTACCATCTCTACCAGTATTCATATTTCATACTCGAGCTTTTTGGATCGGATCCGTGCTGAGATTTCGCTGCCAATCAATCCGTTGGTGCTGATACAACTTCCCAAATAGGTGAAGTGGTCAACATGTTCTATCACTTCACTCCCTATGACTGCTAAGCTAGGAGTTGACGTAGTCTAGTCCTGTAGCAGCATCTTACATTTTTCAGGGGCGAATCGCATGCTAAACATACGAAGATTGCTGCAGCTCAAGGTGTTCAGAAGACTCTGCTGGATTTTGTCAGCATCCTCCCCTAACAGGACTATGTCGTCTGCATATTCTAAGTCCATAAGACTATATTCCCTGGTAACAAGTCGATTCCCCTAAGTCGTTAAGTTCAGCTAAGGATACTTATATTAGCAGCATATCTATGATGAAGTTAAAGTTTTTGCTCCGGGTAAAGTTAATCCCTAATTTACTGGATATGGTTTCTCCTTTTTTTGTTTTGTAAATATATTTTCTTTTCTGCTTTCACTAGATCTGATGAATTGATCACTGTGTCACTAGCGTAACAAGTTTATTTTGCTACAAATTAGATATAGCGAAAATATTCATTCCCACATCTCACTATAAAACACAAAATATAATTGAGCCAGCAAAGAATATCCTTTTCGATAAATTCCTCCTCTTCTCGCTCTATAATTATATCCATATATGCATGTTTATATACATAGAATATTCTAGATTAGTAGTCAATAACAATATTAGTGTGTGCTTTTTAAATAGTAATATCGATTTGTAAAGTAAGATCACAATGGAATCAGCACAGTTCATTGAAGATGCTTAAATTATGATTATAATAATGAAGATAAGTAGCAGGTGGAATATCAACTAAAATTAGGAAACTTCCACAAAAATTCAGGATCGATCATTCAAACCTACATGGCCAGGCCGGTTGGGATAATATCTGAGCCAACCAACTTCTTTTGGATGCAGAAATTAGACTTGTTAATATGGATCCCAACACGGTCAGCCAGCCAGCCTCAGCAATATTTAGTAGTCGAACTGTTAAGGCGAAATTGAGATTTGTTAGTTGGTATTCGGTAAATGACCGTGAAAGCCGCCGCCTTGTTAACATCAATCAGTCTTGTGTTTTGTATCTACAAGATAGATGATGAGTGAGATAGAATAGCAGCGGTGAGAATAGATTTTGTTTGTCCTTTGCTTAACCAGGCAGGGTGATGTTCTGAGATTCGACGAGAAACACGCCTAATTGTACGGTCTGTGTAACTCTCTCCACAGGAGCAGTTAAATTGGTATATACACATGGAAGAGGCGAAATTAGGCAGTTTGATTTTTACTTCCGAACGTAGAAGAAGAGTGGTTTTAAAGATACAGTGTAATTGAGCAGCAGGGAATCAAACATTTCATCTTGGCTCCATTAGTCCCGTTTTCTTTTTTTGCTCCGGGTGCAGTTAATCCCTAATTTACTGGATATGGTTTCTCTTTTTGTTTTGTTTTGTAAATATAATTTTTTCTGTCTGCTTTCACTAGATCTGATGTATTGATCACTGTATCACTAGAGTTTTTCGACGATCGATGGTCTAAAAATCGTAAAGTCACCGATTTGGATTGGTCAACCATATTCCCCGGGCTATGCCTTGCAGCGTATAATTCCAATGAACAAAATGCCCATGAACCAGAGGGTGTATGTCTCGTATGGAATATCAAGTATCCAAAGTTAAAGACTCCAGAGCATATATTCCATTGTCAATCAGCTGTCACTTCAGCGAGTTTATCACGTTTTCATCCAAATATTGTCGTGGCTGGAACGTATTCTGGACAGATTGTTTTATGGGATAGTCGGTGAGCTACTTTGTATGTATATGCGTATACATCTCTCCTTCTCTCTGTTTCTCTCTCTTCAGTTAAATCGGTGTTCCCTTTTTTTGTTGTTTTGCTTTTGTACTAAAGTGCTGTATGCTGAAGACTTACTATTATTATTGTTATTATTATCACTACTATCATTATTTATTTTATTTTTACATTTCCCTATGTACTTTCTGACTAATTTATCAGGATAATAATAGTAATATTATTATTATTACTATTATCTTTCAATCCACTCCTATATCAGTTAACAGTGTTGCCTGAGTATCGCTTAGTCCTAGGCATATTTATTAAACCTAGAATACCTAGAAACTATTTCAGTCAGACTGATCTCTCTCTCTCTCGATTATTATTATTATGATCATCACAAGAAGGATTCGTGTTCAAGGTGCTGTGATGGAAGGTGTGTTGTGTCTTGGCTAGACAATGAAAGCTCCATCCACATTTAAACCAACCCCTCTAGCTCAACTGAGAGAACAACACCACATCTAAATCGTCTATTAGAAACTGCAAATCTCTAATATTTCAAGATTTCTTTCTCTTGTTTTCAACTTGATGTCTTATTAATATATGTGTGTAAAACTTGGTCACTGTGGTTGGTAGTAAGTAATTCCATATTAGTTTGTTTATTAGATGTATCACACAGTCAGGGAAACAGTATTAGTATTTACTGGATGACAAAGTTGTTTCGAACACAATTCATCATTATTGCTGTTCATAATCATACACATCACCAATTATTATAATCACACGACTTCGATATATATGTATATATATATATATATATATATATATATATATATATATACGTATACCAATAAAGATTGCTAAAGAGGCAATCAGAAACGAACTCATTTCTGACCAAGAACCCGAACTTGGGACGAAAGTGCCCCTTTGAGGACATAGTGTTGGGAGTGCAGCTATGCCTGACTTCCATAGTATTTAAATTCCTCCAAGGAAAAATATGCAAACAAACTGAGGGAGTAGCCATGCGATCACCAATATCCCCGGTTGTAGCAGATATATTCATGAATAGGTGAGAAAACATAGCCATTGAAACGTTCAGCTCCACCCACACCAAAAGTATGGTGGAGGTGTATTTAGATGTCACATTCATTCATTGTGCTTAGAACACAGGATATAGATAGATTTTTCGAATACATCAACTGAAAAGTGAAGGCAATTTATCAATTCACTTATGAATTGGAAAGTCAGGAAGCGGGGGAACTGCCAATGTTAGATTGCAACGTAAAAAGGAAAAATGATGGGAAGTTAAACACTAGTGTGTTTACAGGAAAACCACACACATCTAGACAGATATTTAGACTTCCGATCATCCCACGCAATCTATGTCAGTAAAAATAGGATTGGTGAAATGTTTAAGTAAGTGAGCACAAAAACTAAGTAGTATCAAGGAAAATCTAAGACAGGAAGTGAAGCATGTGAGAGAAGCTTTGAAACTTAATTATTACCCCAATAAATTAGTCAGGAAATGTGAAAATAAAATAAATAATAATAATAAATAAATAAATAATAAAAATAATAATAATGACGACATGCATGTCAAATATGCGCAAGACAACGCCAACAATAAAGAATCTAAATCATTAGTAGTAATCCCATAAAAGGAAGGAACCTTAGAAACCACCCACCTTACAGCGAAGAATTCTTAACAAGGCAGGCAGGAATAAAAGTGGCTGCTGGAATTCAAACCAACCACAAACTCAATTAGAAACAAGCTTTGTCGGTTAAAAGATCAATGCTGTGGAGCCTTTAACCGACTAAACAATTTAGTTTATCTAAACCCCTGCTGCTGCAATGATTGTCAGGTCAAATACATAGGTCAAAGTAGCAGAACAGGAGCAGTCAGCGAGTCAGACTAGCCGAGCAGCATAAACACCTAGCAGCAAAATCTAGATTGGTTGACCCGAATAAGATAAGAAATCTAGAGAATTGTTCAGCAGTTATCGCAAGCATTGCATTCAATTACACACACACACACAACCATAAAATAGGCTGGATGGGATAAGATGACAGTTTGAAAATTTAATGCAATTAACGGAGTGGGGAGTGGGGAAGATTGATAACGGAAGCTTTCTTTATCGAATCAACTGCAAATCAGCAGGTGTAATAGGAATGATTCAACACCTGTCCACTCTGATATCTGGAGAATTCTACTACCCCAATGACGACGACAAATAGGAGAGAACAAAGAAGACTGACTATAAAACTCAAGTTTCGAAGTCGTGTGATTATAATAATTGGTGATGTGTATGATTATGAACAGCAATAATGATGAATTGTGTTCGAAACAACTTTGTCATCCAGTAAATACTAATACTGTTTCCCTGACTGTGTGATACATCTAATAAACAAACTAATATGGAATTACTTACTGCCCCCACCCACAATGCCCAAGTTTTACACACATATATTAATAAGACATCAAGTTATGTTAGGCAATCTGAAAGAGTACGTTTGGACTAGGATAAATTGTTCACAATATATCCCAGTTGAAAACAAGAGAAAGAAATCTTGAAATATTAGAGATTTGCAGTTTCTAATAGACGATTTAGATGTGGTGTTGTTCTCTCAGTTGAGCTAGAGGGGTTGGTTTAAATGTGGATGGAGCTTTCATTGTCTAGCCAAGACACAACACACCTTCCATCACAACACCTTGAACACGAATCCTTCTTGTGATGATCATAATAATAATAATCGAGAGAGAGAGAGATCAGTCTGACTAAAATAGTTTCTAGGTATTCTAGGTTTAATAAATATGCCTAGGACTAAGCGATACTCAGGCAACACTGTTAACTGATATAGGAGTGGATTGAAAGATAATAGTAATAATAATAATATTACTATTATTATCCTGATAAATTAGTCATAAAGTACATAGGGAAATGTAAAAATAAAATAAATAATGATAGTAGTGATAATAATAACAATAATAATAGTAAGTCTTCAGCATACAGCTCTCTTTAGTACAAAAGCAAAACAACAAAAAAAGGGAACACCGATTTAACTGAAGAGAGAGAAACAGAGAGAAGGAGAGATGTATACGCATATATATACAAAGTAGCTCACCGACTATCCCATAAAACAATCTGTCCAGAATACGTTCCAGCCACGACAATATTTGGATGAAAACGTGATAAACTCGCTGAAGTGACAGCTGATTGACAATGGAATATATGCTCTGGAGTCTTTAACTTTGGATACTTGATATTCCATACGAGACATACACCCTCTGGTTCATGGGCATTTTGTTCATTGGAATTATACGCTGCAAGGCATAGCCCGGGGAATATGGTTGACCAATCCAAATCGGTGACTTTACGATTTTTAGACCATCGATCGTCGAAAAACTCTAGTGATACAGTGATCAATTCATCAGATCTAGTGAAAGCAGACAGAAAAAATTATATTTACAAAACAAAACAAAAAGAGAAACCATATCCAGTAAATTAGGGATTAACTGCACCCGGAGCAAAAAAAGAAAACGGGACTAATGGAGCCAAGATGAAATGTTTGATTCCCTGCTGCTCAATTACACTGTATCTTTAAAACCACTCTTCTTCTACGTTTGGAAGTAAAAATCAAACTGCCTAATTTCGCCTCTTCCATGTGTATATACCAATTTAACTGCTCCTGTGGAGAGAGTTACACAGACCGTACAATTAGGCGTGTTTCTCGTCGAATCTCAGAACATCACCCTGCCTGGTTAAGCAAAGGACAAACAAAATCTATTCTCACCGCTGCTATTCTATCTCACTCATCATCTATCTTGTAGATACAAAACACAAGACTGATTGATGTTAACAAGGCGGCGGCTTTCACGGTCATTTACCGAATACCAACTAACAAATCTCAATTTCGCCTTAACAGTTCGACTACTAAATATTGCTGAGGCTGGCTGGCTGACCGTGTTGGGATCCATATTAACAAGTCTAATTTCTGCATCCAAAAGAAGTTGGTTGGCTCAGATATTATCCCAACCGGCCTGGCCATGTAGGTTTGAATGATCGATCCTGAATTTTTGTGGAAGTTTCCTAATTTTAGTTGATATTCCACCTGCTACTTATCTTCATTATTATAATCATAATTTAAGCATCTTCAATGAACTGTGCTGATTCCATTGTGATCTTACTTTACAAATCGATATTACTATTTAAAAAGCACACACTAATATTGTTATTGACTACTAATCTAGAATATTCTATGTATATAAACATGCATATATGGATATAATTATAGAGCGAGAAGAGGAGGAATTTATCGAAAAGGATATTCTTTGCTGGCTCAATTATATTTTGTGTTTTCATACATATCTGAATGAAAATTGTTATACACACACACACACATACGCACAGTGATGTGGTTCAAGTAAGGGCTAGCTAGTTTCAGAGCACATTTCTTAATGTCTCCAGAAACAAACATAATCTTCAGAAGCTATTAATGGTGAGAACAGACGAAGACCTAGCTCCTCTATTGCGAAACATGTTGTAGAGGAGACAGGACATAAAATTGACGTTAACTAACACATCTTTTAAAGGCCTGTCTATCTATAAAAGCGTGTTCGGTGGAGGGCGTATCCTAAAGTTTGTGGAAGCTAGCTAGCCCTAGCTGTCAGTTAGGAAGTTTAAACCACCTTGATGCGTTCAAAGCAGCAATTCGTCATCACACTAACTAAACCTACCTTCCTTGTTGGTGGTTAACTTTGTTTTGATCGCCACCAGTCAGGGTAGATGTACTATGTTACCTCTGTTATTTGGTTTAGTCATTCATCTTTGTTGGTATTATCACCTTCAATATTTCCACGTATGCATGACATTCCTATGACAAGTCCATGTGTGTGTGTGTGTGATGGATCAGATTGTTCGAAATGTGTGTTGCGCGCAAATATGCACATTACACACACACGCACACACGATTCAGACAGAAAAATCACATCTTCCTTCTTATTGCTTTAACTAATCTATTCGTTATTATAATGTGAAAGAAATTTGAAAAAGCAAATCATAGTACAAATGGTGTTACATATATATAACAGTCGAACTACAAAATTTAAAACAATCAAATATAGAAGAGAAAAAACCCAACGCTAATTTTCTACACTCACTGACTCACTCACTCACTCACCTTGAATGATTTCTGGTTTCAAGCATTAACTGTGCTGCTAAATGCTGAATCCTCAATGGAAGTAATGTCAAATTGCCAATAACACGTATACAAATATCATCCGCTTTCAGTTCATCTCTAAATGGGAAACAAGAGTATTCATCACACAGGAGAAAAGAGAACACTAACTTGTTATTCAATAATTCACAAAGTTTCTCTTCTGCCAGATTCATTAAGAATGAAACTTCTTCTGGTGATCGGTTGAAATTGTCTATGCTAAAAGTGAAAATTGACACTTCTTCAATGCCTACATCACGACACCACTGTAAAGTCTACAATAAATAAATAAACAAATAAATAAAGTAATTAATAAATAAATGAACGAATAAATATATGACGAAATAAGAAAATAAATGAATCAATCAATAAATGAATAAATAGGAACAAATCAGTTCAGCGAAGAGTCTCTTTTCGGCGAATTCATTCACTTAGCTGTAGAGTCGCAAATATATACAATTTATTTTGTGTGTGTGTGTGTGTACATTAGGTTTGTCACAATCAAGCATATTAAGCCTAAACTTACAAAGAACAACCCATTACAGTGCAGAAGAAGATGGTCTACATGAATGTACCCTTCAAAGGTGACCTTCTGGCTGACACCTGGAAGAAGAGAGTATCTACTGCTCTCATTAGGACATTCTTCGCTGCCGCACTACGACTGACATTTTCCTCCCGGCCATTGTTCTTCAACTACTCTAAAGATAAACTATCGCATTTGACCACTTCCATGTGTATCTACCAATTCACCTACTCTTTACGGAGCGAGATATATAGGTCGTTAGATGCGAGTTTTATCTAAAAGAGTTCAAGAACACCATCCCGCCTGGCTATGGAAAGGTAACAACGGAGCAATAAGGAGCGCCATTATTGAGCATATACTCAACACTGGTCACTCGATTTGCAAGGAGAAGTCGTTCAAAGTCATCTATAAAGCCAAAAGAAGCCTTCCAAAATCGACAAGCTTCCGTATACTTTGTATTGCCGAAGCCTTAGCGATTTGGATAGAAAAGCCTGATTTATGCACACAGAAGAAACTTCTCCACCCCCTCCTACTACCGTGGGTTTAATTTCAAGTTTATCTGTCTTCAACATTTTGATATCGAATTTTTTTGCAATTTTCGGGTAATAATTTTTAGTAACTAACCCATTCAATCTTTTCACCTATTATCTAGTTTATTTTCATAATTGTCTCCGTACTCCTTCACTAACATCTAATGTTTCTAATCATGTCTATATTACGTAACCCTACTCACATCTTACCAATCTTCACCCCACTTAGTTACGACTTTGATTATTAATCACACATTTTAACTTCTTCATTATCTTGATGATGTAATCAACAACCCACACTAACTGTTATTTTGATTTTGACAAACCTAATGTACACACATACACACACACACAAAATAAATTGTATATATTTGCGACTGTACAGCTAAGTGAATGAATTCGCCGTAAAGAGACTCTTCGCTGAACTGATTTGTTCTTATTTCAATGTATTAATGGGTATTTTTCGCGAATTAGAAATAAATAAATACAGAGCCAAAGAAATATATACCTCAGAAAGTTTTGAAAATCCGTGTAAATGACCATCAGACTTTCTCATCATTCTACGATCAGCAAACCGTCTATTCCCATCCATAATAAAGGCGATGTGTTTTGGAACTGGTCCATGCTTAATGGCATGCATACACATTCTTTGTAAAATGCCATAATTCACCTCTGAACGAGTCCACGTCATTTTAAAAAAACGACTCTCTGTTAGAATGAAAATGATTATAAAAAACACATTGCTTACTGCTGTAGTAAGAAATCTTGTGGTCATCGATAAAAAATCTTTATAACACAGAGAGAGCCTTCTTTGTATAGGTGTACGGATAGTAGGATAGCCTCCCTCGACGGGCATTACTAGCTGATATAGGTGCAGGTTGGGAAGGAGTAAGTGGTGACATGCCAAACAAAAGTATGGCCTCATCAATCCATGAAATCCTCGACAGTTAAACTGAGTCGGTCAAGTAGGGAGATGCAGACCTCCGGGTGGTTGGGGCCCGCCCTTGGGACTCTAAGAATCAATCAATGGCTGGAGACAGACAATAGGTGACATGGCTCAAAATCGTTGTCAATGGCTTACGCAGATGTATTCAGTCTCTTGTGTAATCTTTCATATTCCTTTCTACCATTACTCATTCTGTTTCACTCTTATACTTGTCAAAACTCTATTGATTGATTCTCTTCACTCACCCATCTTCTTGTCTACCTTTGTGTGCTATTTGGAACTTGGCAACTCGACCTGCTGCACTTCGGTGCCGAGTTCTATGTTGAATTCAGCCAGCCAGCCAGTAAGAAAATGCAAATAAGTAATAAGTAAGCGCATGGGAGCAAAGTATGCCATCCACTTATTCAGGCTGAAGCAAAATTCAAAAAGGTTTTAAAAAGGCAAGTGGACGATAGTGGTGGCGATGGGCTCCCCCCCCCATTGGGTCCCATTTCGGCTGATTTCTTTCTAGGTAAGTAAGCTAGAAAATGGACCTTTGAACAACCAACCACCTTATCAGTAAGTTCTCATTTTATTGCCGATATACATAGTTTACAGTTTACAATTTATTTAGAATAGTAGGCTATATGCCTGTGTTAATCCTTTCGATTTGTTACACACAGGAGGTCCAATCTCGCCTTGAATGAATCAACGGATGGCGCTGATACGACGTGTTCCGGTAGGGAGTTCCAATGGTTCACAATTCGATGCGAAAAACGGATCTCCAAACGCAGACGATTCGACCGTGGTTTTTGAACCTTGAGGTGATGTCCTCGTAATTGGTTGGTGCTAGAAGGAAGAAATAAATTAGATAAATTTGCTCCAAAATCATTTCTTAGGATACGGTATGCTAGTATTAGGTCACCCCTAAGTCGTCTGTATGACAGTGGCGCTGAAGATGTTGTCCGGAAGGACGACGAAAGCTTCGCGACTAAACCAACCAGCTCAGAGAACACTTTTATTGGATTCCATAGACCTCATTTGGAATATGGGATCCAGGCAGCGAGCCCGTGTTTCAAATACGAAATAGACTTATTAGAAAGGGTGCAAAGAGTAGGAACTAAGCTAATAAAGGGTTTCTCAACCCTCTCATATGAAGAGAGGTTAAGTCGACTGGGTTTATTTCCACTGTCATACAGACGACTTAGGGGTGACCTAATACTAGCATACCGTATCCTAAGAAATGATTTTGGAGCAAATTTATCTAATTTATTTCTTCCTTCTAGCACCAACCAATTACGAGGACATCACCTCAAGGTACAAAAACCACGGTCGAATCGTCTGCGTTTGGAGATCCGTTTTTCGCATCGGATTGTGAACCATTGGAACTCCCTACCGGAACACGTCGTATAAGCGCCATCCGTCGATTCATTCATGAATGATAATGATTCCGATATAGGAGTACAATAATTACTGAATTCAATGAAGCACATCACGCGCTATGAAATTCACATGCGAAGAGGAATCCAAAAACAGAATGGATTGCCTTTCTGGATCCCCGTCTTCCTTACAAGAAAACCAGATGGTAACATAAAAAGAAATTTGCACAGACAAAAGTACATGGACAACAGGACAATATACACACATTTTCACAGCTTCGTTCCTCTCAAGTACAAAAGAAATTTAGTGAAGACCTTCACTCGGCCACAGAGTTAGTTAGAGCTATATGCTCAGAAGGCGTAATTGAAGATGAATTAAGCATTGTATGTGATACTTTGATTGATCGAAAATAGCTATCCCAACAAATAGCTATCAAGAAACACATGACAAAGAAAGCGGTAGAAAAGGACTACTCAATCTCCATCCGTGAACAAGAAGCCACTTTATATACGACTACAATTCAAGGGCGATCGTAATACCAAGTGAGATAATTACGAAGAAATTAGGAAAATCGGTTCGAAGAACTTTTAATGCTGGCGGCGAACTACACGTCTTATTCTCTACACGACCGATGGTGATTCCTCGACTGAAAGATGAAGTACCTAGACTAGCTGGCCACTTCAAATTGTATCTACCCATTCAACTGAGATTGTACTTTGGTTGAGTTAAAGCATTAAAAATTAATGAACTATTAAAGAAAATTATCATAGCAACGTGGAGGTTAAACATGCTTCAAATTAGCCATTGCTAAACCCAAGCTTACAACAATTCTAAACTTATTCTAACCTATTCTTCGACAATTCCTTTTTATGGTAAATGAAGATTTTATGTACCCACTATGTTCTGAAATAACGCTAGTCGTGCTTAAAAAGAGAGCTGGGTGCTGAATTAAGTCTTTTCGTCCTAAAATAACGCTGTTCTGTGCTTAATATGTCCTATGAGGGCTGGCAAAACGCTGATAAGCAAACCCAGAAGGTTCTGATCTACTCCTGGAAATGCGTAGAAAAAGAACATAGTGCTGAATTAGTGCTAGGCATGCTGAAAACCTGCACTGAATTCTAGTCTGTGCCATTAAAGAACCCATTTCAGAACAGATGCAGAATTTACTCACAATAGAATGTTAAAATTATTACAGGATTATTAAGATTTAGCTCAGCATTATAATAAGCTTGGGAATATAAAAAAGTAGTTGACATTCAGTAGCTTTCCAACGATCTACCTAATTAAATTTGTGGAACTTAGGTTGGAATTCGTGCTGTGTCAAATGCTGACGTTAGTTAAGTAATCGGGAATGGTATGATTCACACTGCAAAATTTGGGCTACCGATATCACATGCTGAAAATTCCATACTTGTACCGAAAATACTGTGTGGTTTCAAGCTATAATCAAAATAAAAAATTTAATGAATAAACACCATACACATCCTCACTGTAGCGCAAATATTTTAAATGAGCGCACTCATGTACAATGTTCCAATATGCATTCAGCACAAATTGGCAGAAATTAAACGCCATGTACAAGGTCATTGATGGAGTGAGACGCTCAAAGGTCATTTTCGTCCATGTTAGTCGGCCATGTTGGATTGCAGTTCCGTTGCTGTCCGTTTACACATCGATTTTTCCGTTTATCCAGCACTTATTCACCACGTATCTTGATGCACATTGTTTACAAATGTTGCGTTTCACTTCATTATTGTTTCCGTTTCTGTTAAAATTAGTTATTTCGTTTGTTTCGAAAGTTTTTACCAGCAGGTCAGTGCATTCATTTCATTGTAATTGTTTCATACGTTGCATTCATGCATAGTTTCAGGTTTTTAGTTGTTTTTCCGCTAATAATGAACTAGTACTGTCTAGAAGTTTTGGAAATTATGCGCATGAGCATGTTTGGGTGGCGGAAGCAGTTGTTTCCAGTTCATTTTTGGTTGCCGTTGTTGTTACTAGCTCAGTTGCTTACTTAACATGTAGAAATCTGGAAAAAACAATGTCTGTCACATTCATGTTTACAGCATGCAGCAATATACGAGTCAATCTGATGAGGAAAATACAATCAGAGTTGATATTAGCAAAGTTTTCGAAGAGCAAATTAAACCTGAAGAATTTAGAACATGGGATGATGTTGAAAAAGCTTTGAAGCTTTTTGAGAAGGTAAGCACAGTATCAGTGTGTCTATTATCAGTTAACAAACACCCGGTATATTGTGAAAGAATCTAAATTAAATAAGGATGAGCCACATGTGAAGTATGACTATGCGGTGTATGTATGTACTTTTGGATGCAAAAGGAAATCCGTAAGCAATCACATCCGCCTTAGAGGGTAAGTTTCCTGTGGTTTTTAATGTCTTACGGAGTAGATCTAAATACTGTGGTTGCCCATCAATGATACGCATCCGATATCATTGCAATGAATTCATTATACCATCTGTATATATGATTCATAATCACTATTGCACTCGTGATTATTTAATGAAGGATGCTAGAGCACGCAAATTAGATGAGTCTGAACTTTCTATAGTTAAGCCGATGCTGTCTGTTTCATCCGATCCTGAAAAGGTTATTGATTACGTTGCAGAACGATTCAAAAAAAGGATGACGTACAATGATCTACGAAATATAAGAGCTACTGTAGTTGAAGGTGAGACTTTGATGTACAAGAATAACCTTTCAGATTGTGATTTACGGTCAGTGGTTTTTTCCAGATTACACCAAGCTGGGAAATTGGTTATAATTCGGGGTGAAAACGATGGAAGAATAAAAATAGCATGTTTTAGTTCAAATAGGCAAATCGAAATTTACCACAAATTCCCTGAGGTCGTGAGTTTCGATTCCACCTACAACACTAATAGAGGAAAGTAGGTGTAAATGTTTTCTACATCAAATATTTGAAGCTATAAACTGTTTCAATTTGTTGTTACAGACTCTCATGGAAAAGGTCTGCCGGTTATGTTTGCATGGAGTAGGCAAGAAAGGCTGGATGATTTAACGACGATTCTGGATAAATTTAAATGTGTAATGGGTACGACTTCCAATACAGAAACGTTTGTCATGGATTGCGCAAAAGCATTGAGAGGTGCCGTTGAGACAACGCACCCACTTTGCAATATAATATTGTGTGCATTCCATGTTTCTCGTGCAATGCGTAAAAAGGTAAGTTTTGTAAATTTCAAAGATTTTGTAGACAAAAAGTAGGCTTGTTAGGCATTACCTGTCGAGTATGATTCGCGAGGAATCAATTCATGGGTAAATTTTTAGAACTGATCATAAATTTATTTACAGATTCTACACATACCTCGGTCTCATACGGCATCTGGATCCCCGTTTTGCGAGGTA